CCCCCCCTTCATCACTGACAGCACGACCGTCTCCTCAGCTGTCTCTGTGTCTTTTTACTCCTGGTGGTTCAGTCGTGGATCTGATCACCTGATCCACCACTCTGTGACGTTGACGTCCTGGTCAGAGGAGAGAGTGGAGATCATGACACCTGGAGGAAAAAAAAACAAAAAAAAAAACATTTTCTACTCACATTTAGGAATAATTGCAGCTGATGATAATATTATTATTTTATATTTCTACTCTCCTCTCTTTATTACTTCCGACCTCCTCTCCTCTCCTTTCCTCCCCTCCTCCCCCCTTGCTGCCTCCTCCCCCCCTCTCCTCCTCTCCTCCTCAGTGTCAGTCCTTTTGGCTCCTCAGCGTTTATAATGTGATAATAAGGTGTGAAAATGGAGACACAATGGAGCAGAGAGGATTGGACTCTCTGTCACTGCTGCTCTGTGACACTCACGGCCACTTTACTACCAGGACACATGTACAACCACACACACACACACACACACATACACACATTAAAGTCCCAGTCAAACGTGATCGACTTCATTTCCGTTGTTTTGTTTCTGATTTGTGTTGTTTTTTTTTTTTTCAATAAATTCCCAGAAGTCCCTGCGTCCGACAGAGAGAGCGAGACCAAGGAAGCGGCAGGAACCGGCGCCGACGACGGTGAGGAAGAGCACGAGGACAGGGAGGAGCGAGAACGAGACGAGGACCTGGACGACGAGTCCATCTTCACCTGTGACAACTGTCAGCAGGACTTTGAGTGTCTGGCCGAGCTGACGGAACACAGAACCAACCACTGTCCGGCAGGTAGGAGTCCAAAAAGTTCTAGTGCCTTTAAGGTGGACTGGGAAGTAGGTCTGGAATAGAACCAGGAACCAAGGTCTCAGGAAGACCAACTGTGGTTCCTGATCTAAGGGCGTTCTTAAACAAATGTCTCCTGGAAGAATGAGTACCTGTGTCTGTGATCTTCAGTGGTACCGATGACTCCCACTGGGACCGAGGTGTGCACAAACCCACATACCTGTTATTGGTACCTGTGTAATTAATGGAAGGTAAAGACGGTGTTTGTCCAGAGACTTCATTACAACTGCACTGGTCGAGAGGTCAAAGGTCAAACGTAGCACTTGCGTTGATGCTGCGTAAAATTGAACAAAAGGATAAAAAAAATTAATCTGCGCAGAAATGACTTCATTCCACATCAGTTGTCCAGATGTCGGAAACATTCTTTTTTTTTAGCTTTTACTTCGACTGCTGGCCCGTGATTGGTTAAAGATTGGTTAAACAGTTAAACAGCCGCTAACCAGTAGTGTGACAGTCGTGCCTAACGAAGTGGCCGGGATGCGTCGATCGTAAAATTGTTCTTGATATTTTATCATCTTGGTTACAGTTACAGACCAATAAGTTTTCATTGAAATCTTTGTGGAATCATCAGCATAGAGTGACACTCACTCCACACAGTGACAGGATCAGTTTCTCTTCATTGTATTTGTAGCAGGTTCAATTACTTTGTGGTTTTTTTTTACCCTCCTCAACACACCCACACCCACACCCGCCCGCCCTGACGCCCTGACGACCATGAACCTGACCGTGCGCGGCCACGCCTGCTGTGTCACTCTCAGACTCTCAGGTAAAGCTGTTTGATTCTCAGGGCCACCAGGGCCGGGGCTGCAGCAGGAGTCTGGAGAGGAGGAGGGCAGCATGGTACTGA